CTTCTACAGTTTATTCCGTGTATGAATTCTCTGGTGTTTAGTTAGCGCTGAGCTTCTACTGAAGTTTTTCCCACATTCCTTACAAGCATAAGGTTTTTCTCCAGTATGAATTCTCTGATGATCATGCAGATTGGTTTTTTTCCGAAAGGCTCGCCCACATTCATTACATTCATAGGGTTTTTCTCCAGTATGAGTTCTCTCATGCTGAATGAGGGATGAACTTTGACTAAAGGCTTTCCCACAGTCAATACATTCATAGGGTTTCTCTCCAGTGTGGGTCCTCTCATGTTGAGTAAGTGATGAGCGTCGACTGAAGGCTTCTCCACATTCATTACATTCATAGGGTTTTTCTCCAGTATGAATTCTGTGATGTTCTATGAAGCTTGTACTCCTTTTGAAAGCTTTTCCACATACATTACACTGATAGGGTTTCTCTCCAGCATGAAAAATAGGTTGTTGATTAAAGTTCTGCTCACATTCATAGGGGTTCTGTCCAGTATGGATCCTCTGATGATCAGTAAAGTCAGTGATGTGACTGAAATCTTCCCCACAGTCATTACAATGATAGGATTTCACTTCACTGACAGTACTTTCATCTTGAGTTAGAGATGAGCTGTGCTTGAAATCTACACTGTAGTTATTGCTTTGGTAAGGTTTGCCTCTCTTATGAATCCTCATATGTTTATAAAGGGATGGGCTCTGACCAAAAGCCCTCCCACATATGCTACATTCAAAAGGTTTCTCTCCTGTGTGAGTCCTTTCAAGCTGCACAAGGGAAGAACATCTGCTAAAGGCTTTCCCACACTCCTTACATTGAAAGGGTTTCTCTCCACTATGTGTGACCTCATGTTGGGTGAGGGATGTGCCATGCCTAAAAGATCTCCCACATAAATTGCATCGATAGGGTTTCTCTCCAGTGTGAATTCTCTGGTGCTGAACAAGGGAGGAGCTGCGCTGGAAGGCTTTCCCACAGAGACTACACTGGTAAGGTTTCTCTCCCGTGTGAGCATTCTCATGCTGGCCAAGGGATGAGCTATGCCTGAAAGCCTTCCCGCACACATTACATTCGAAGGGCTTCTCCCCAGTGTGAATTCTATGATGCTCAGTAAGTTGTGTCTTCCAGAGGAAGGTTTTCCCACAGTCAGTACATTCATGGTGTTTCTTTCCAGGATAAATCCCCTGATCTGTACCAATGGGGCAAGCTCCCTCTGCTTTATGAGTTTTCTCGTGTTTAGTAAGTGATGATCTATGAATAAAGGCTTTTCTACATTTATCACATTTGTAAGGTTTCTTTTTTGCAAGGATATTACTCTGATTAATTATATCTGAATTCTGTCCCAAATTGCTTCCAAGTGTATCACATTCACTAGGCCTTGAAGGAACATTCAGCTGTGTAACCAGAACTGTGTTCAATCTGGGGTTTTCACCAAACTTATTTTGCTGAAAAGTTTCCTCTGGTGTGATTACTTTCTTCTGGGTGGATGCATCTGGCCCCAGATACCTTTTCCAGTTTTCCTGGTGCCTCTCTAACTGGCTACTAACATCCCAAG